CCAGCTATCGGGTATCTCGCGGCGCGCGCCACGGTTGACGCGCGCCACTCAGCAGGGGCTCGCGCCGCAAGGTCCACGCGACCTAGCCTGTATCATTATGTCTCACGACGATTTCGCTGCTCAGCTGAGCAATGTTCTGCCCAGAGCGTCACGTGCTGATATCGACGCGGTTTGCTCTTGCCTGCGGTTTAACGGGATGACGCGCTGGCAGCACCTCGAGGGTGCGCTGTTCGATGACTTTCTGGGTCGTGAACGCCTTTCTGTCACCGCAGCGACAGCAGTGCGAGAGCTGCTGGCACGCCCGCAAGGTGGCGTGCATCGCGGGCGCGCGGGTCGCGCGCGCGCGCCGTGCGTATTCTTAAGGGCGATGGGCGAACGCAAGGCCCAACGGTGGCGAGGCGGCGCGGGCACGCCCGTCGAGTCAAGGCTCTGCGAGCTCGGCTTCTTCATAGTCCTCTTCCTCGAGTGTGCGGTTATGGGCGCCCCGCGTGGTCCGTCGCAGACCGCTTTTCTCCGCGCGTTGCACGCGCGCGACGTCTTCGCGCGCGGCCGCGCGCGCAGGGCATCCCAGGGCTGGCGCCGCCACCAGGGCCTCCACCCGTGATGCTTACGGCCCGTCGGCGGCGCAGCCGCAGCTCGGCAGCGGACGCAGTGGCAGCGGTGCGCCGTGCGCCACGTACGGCAACGGAAGGTTTCGAGCGTCAGATGGGCGATCCGCGTTGCGAGATCGCGAAGGCTGCCGCAGCCGTCACGTCGCCCGAGGCGGGGCGGGCGTGGGCCCAGGTTGCCCGTAACAGCGCCCTGCTCGGATCGTGCCCACGGTCACTGCCGCAGGTTCGCAGCGGCTTCGAATGTTGGGTGAATTTCGCGCGCGACGTTTTGCAGCGCAAAGGCAGCGAACTCCCGCCGTCGGTCGACGGTCTTTTGCTCTGGTCTACGACGTTCAGGTGTCGCGCGACGTTCTGCAATTACCTTTCGCATTTGAAGAAGGCATGCCATGTCGCGCGTGTGGCAGACGCAGCGTTCACGCACGCGTCGCTGGCCGGCGCCAAGCTGGCTATCGAGAAGCGTTCGGGTTGGTCGGCACGACCCCGCATGGTGGTCCGGATGCACGTGCTGGAACAGCTACTGGAACGCCCAGGCGCGTTGCCAGAGGGATCCGGGCTGGGTCTCCTCTTCGTGACCGCGTACGCGTTTCTACTTCGCCTCCCGTCGGAAGCGCTGGTCATCCAACGGGCCGCCTCGCTCGACGACGCGTCACATTTACGCGCAGGCCTTTTCATCAGCGAAGAGGCAGCCGTCTTATCGCTCGCCAGACGGAAGAACCGGGAAAGACGGACAACTATTGTGCGCAATTGCTGGTGTCAGCGCTCACGCGCCACGTGCCCCGTGCACGCTCTCGGCGCGCGGTTCAACTCGCAGTCCGTTGGAGAGGCCCCGTGGGCGGGCTGGTGCGCCACGGGTGTACGTAACGCGCTGCGGTCGGCACTGCGTCACACGGGAGTAGTTAACGCCGACGCCTACGGCACCCACTCGTTCCGTCGGGGCCACGCCCAAGACATTGTGGAGTTCGGCGGCCGAGTCACCGACGTCCTGAAGGCAGGTGACTGGCAGATGCCAGCTTGGATGCGCTATCTTGACGTTGAGAAGATGAAGCGCCAGGCCGTCGCCGAGGCGCATTTCGGCGTGTCGTCCAGCGACGACGAGGGTGGGGATTCGGAACCCCCTGGCGTCCAGCGACGTCATTCCACGCTTGGTCGGTGCAAGTAACGTCGCGCCAGGCCCCTTCGCACGCTCGTTCGCCCTCGTTCGGTCCATCGGTCGCTCTCTCGCGGGCCACGCGTCCGCGGCCGTCTCTCTGCATGGCATTGGGTGGCAGTGCCAGCGTGCCTGCGGGTGCCGCAGGCCCGCTGTGTGGGGCAGTGCTCGGCCTCAGCCCCTGGGTCCGCGGCAGTGGGTATGGTGCCCATGTGCTTCGGCCTGCGCCCAGGCGCGCCAGCCGCCTGTGTCGTTCGACGCGGTGGGCTGGCGTGTCGGCTGTTGGCGCACGGCCGCGGCCTCACCCAACGTTGTTTGGGTGCCGTATTCCCCCCTCTGGGTGGCATCGCGGTCGAACGTCGCCGCGAAGGAGACTTATGGGGCAGTAATAACTTGTTATTGCAAGTCATAAGTCGACGCCCCCAGGCGGGAGTGTCCCGCCGTCGGCGCACCGCGCGATGGCGGGCGCCCGCATGTCCACCCGCCACGCGCCGCTGCTACGTCGGGCGGGCCAGGCCCCGCGCGGGCATGCTGGCGTGCCGCGCGGCCGTGCGTCGGGGTCCTTCCTCCCTCCGCTCCTCCGTGCACGGTCGTGATGTCTTCTCTTTGCCGCCTGGCCGCGGGGCGGGATATCAAGTGCCCAGTCGTGTCTGCAGCGCCCCACCTGCCTAGTGTGCACTCTTAAGGTGGGGCGGCTGGCCGGGGTGTGGTCCTCTGTCTGCCAGTGCGCGGCTCTGGACCAACCCTGGGGGCGACGCGCGGGGCGTCCGTTCGCCAGAGCGCGTCGGACGCGACCGCGGTCGCGCTTCTTTTCTCCCACCCACCACCCTCGAGAGGGGGCATGGTACCCATGTGCTTCGGCCTGCGCCCTGGCGCGCCAGCCGCCTGTGTCGTTCGACGCGGCGGGCTGGCGTGTCGGCTGTTGGCGCACGGCCGCGGCCTCACCCAACGTTGTTTGGGTGCCGTATTTCCCCCTCTGGGTGGCATCGCGGTCAAACGTCGCCGCGAAGGAGACTTATGTTAAGACAAAAACCGTAGGTTTCGCAGGGCTATCGAGAGCGAGGTTCCAGAGCACAGATCAAGCACACATGGTTTTGCAACGTGGGTTTTCAGAAAATCTGCGCGCGCTCCGGCGAGATCTCGCGAAGTCCAATGGGTTTTCAACATTTTTGAAAATGCGACCTAGCGGGCCTCTCGCGCGCGCGTGTCAAAGTCATTAGAACTCCCTTGCCGCTTGCTGGTCGGGGGGGGCACGATCCCTGGTCAAATGATACCATGCGGGCCCCATCGCGCGCGTGTGCTGCGCGAGCTTGTCGAAATCCTTCCAAAACCTTCATCGCCGACAAGTGGACACCATCATCGTCAGCGGCGTGACCAGCATCGGCGCCGTCACTTGCCTGGCCGTTGTCATCGTCATCATCGTCACCATCATCGCTATCGTCATCATCACTACGATGCCGCGCCCGCCCGAGACACCGATTCGCAGTGAATTGCTCGCGCGCCAGCGCTGCTTGTGAGACGCGCCGGGAGGTCCCCAGCGGTCAACGCCACCGCTGCGGCGTCAGCTGCGACGAATTAGCTGGCCAGTGTGCACGCGAGCCTGCGTTCGCCAGCGCGGCCGCAACGAGGCGCCAGCCGACGCATGGATTGTTTGCAAGCGAAGTTGAGGCGGGATGCGTGGGATGATTGCGCCAGCAGTGGAGCTGACAATTCCAAGTACATCAAAACCACTTCTCTTTTCAACCAAAAAATGTACCACCACCCCCGGGGTTAGTCGCCTGGCCCCGCGTCTTGCAATGTACATTTGTTTGTGCACCTTTGGTTATTTCGTATTAGGATCTCGCACCACCCCAGCCAAACAACATTCGATCCCCCACCCAGAACAACAACGGTATGAGCGCGCAATCGTTGATCACAAGCCATCAATGGTCAAGAGTCCTTTGCAAAACACAAGCGGGACGAAGTCTGCGCGCGCGTCGTCGCGAGCGCATGCCGAACTCCTTCAAATACCGCCGGCTTGCATGGATATCAAGATCGAATGCCCCGACGGCATATAAACAATATGGTTTGACATCATGTCTTTGTTTCAAAACGATAGAAAAGTATACGCCCGTTCTTGTGAATCCTACGGAAAAACCATGGGTGTTTGCAGCATTTTTCGTGTCATGCGATCAAGCTGCGTGTCGAATTTATTCGAAGTTCCTTGTGCTTGCGGGTGCGGCACGACTTTACCAAAATGATACCATCCTGGCCAATCGCGCGAGTCGTCCGCGCGCGCATGTCGAAACCCTTCCAATACATTCGTCGCCGACATACGGACACCATCATCGTCGGCGTGATCAACTTCGGCGTCGTCACCATCGTCACCAGCATTGCTAGTACCATCATCGCGCCTGCCATTGTCGACGTCACCACGATACCGCGCCCGACCGAGTCACCGACTCGCACTGACGTGCCCGCGCGTCAGCGCGGCCCGCGGGACGCGCTGGGAAGTCCCCAGCGGTCAGCGCCACCGTGGCTGCGTCCGTCGTGTCAGACTAGCTGGCCGCTCTGTGCGCGAGCCTACGCGCGCTAGTGCGACTGCAGCGAAGCGCCAGCCAGCGCCAACCAGGCACCGCAACGCCGCCGCATGGGTTTTGCAAACCAATATGCGGGTGGGCGGGTGGGTAGGGTGATTGCGCGAGCACTGGAGTTGACAATTCACTGCGCGCAAATAGTAATTGCACCACGTAGGTTGCACCACAAGGTTGCACCACATAGCTTGTTCCGCACATTTTGTATTACAGAATTTGCACCACATGCGCCGTTCCACATCGACTGCGCCGCACATATGGCAGAGAACTAAAACGCACAGGGTTTGGGGCCCACGCCGGCTAACATTGTTTCGCCTGTCGGCGCGGACCCCCGCCCCGTCCCCTTTCTGTATGCCAGCTTTTGCTTTCGGTGGCTGCGCTTGGCGATTGGTTTGCGCGACTGCTAGAACCAGATCGACCAAGCTGTGGCCCAGACCCGGACCCCCCCCCCCCTCGCCCACCTTTCGGCCAAATTTCGAGCCCCAGAACAAGACGACGACGACGACGACGACGACGACGACGACGACGACGACGACGACGACGACGACGACGACGACGACGACGACGACGACGACGACGACGAAACAACGCTTGCAACGGCAAGGTCTGTCCGAAAACCCGGGGCCCCGATCCTCGAGCGCCGGCGGCTCCGGGCGGCGGCGCTGCCAGGAGCTGCGCGCGGAGTGCCAGCGCAAGGTCGCCGAGGAGAAGGGCGCCGCGGAGCGGGTCTTGCGAGAGGCGCGGCAGCACACCGAGGAGCGGCGGCGGCTCTGTTCGTTTAGCCTCCCTGGCTCCTGATCCGCCGTACTTTGGATGATTTTCCGACCTAAAATTGTGTCGGAAATCGACGCCAAAGGAGCCTCAAGGGCGGAAATCGACGCTCAAAGGGGCCTTAAAAGTAGGGCGGAAATTTCCGCCCTACTTTCGAAATCGCCCAAAGTAGGGCGGATCAGGAGTCAGGGTGGGGGTCCAGGTCTGCCGGCTTCTGGAGGGCCAAGCTTTGTGGGGCCTGCTTCGTGGGAAGACCAGGATCTGGGGCCTGTTTCTGGAGGGCCAGAATCCAGGAGGCCAATCCCTTCCGTTACCACTCTCTAGCGACAGGCGTCTATAAACATATCGAGCGTCGCCACATACGAAGACACACCCAGGGTGGATGCGTCCACAGACGACGCGGCCGCTGGGTTCGACGCGGTGCAACGTCCGAGAAAGGACAGATGCGTTCTGCGGTATACTGCTGTTCTAGAGCACGCCCCAAGGCCCCACATGGTACTCACACTTCTGCTTCCCTGTCCTCATTTTCTTACCCCCCTCGCTCTGCCCCCCGTGCTCCTGCCTTCCTGGCTTCGTGCCTTTTCCGCTGCCTCCCGCTCTGCGGCCTGCTGTCCTCCCCGCCCTGTCTGTTTCATCCAGTGGTGCCTGCGCCCTTGGCGGCGTCTCGTGTGATGTCCCCGGCCGGCTGGGCGGTCTTCAGTCTCACGTCGTGGAGCCAGTTGTGCGTCGGTCCCGTACATGGACATTAGAGTCGAACCCTGTGGCCCAAGATGCCCCCCAGACCCCCCGAAATTAATATTGATGGCGTGGCGACGGGGGGGGCGTGAGTGGACAGAAATATTCGGACCCCAAAGCGCCGCCTTTACTGAGATCAACATCGATGTCGGGGGCGCGGGGGTGATTTAGAATCTCCCTCGAAGGTGTAAGGGTTCGAATCGATTGTCCATATACTGGCGTCCCCGGCTTGCCTGGCGGCCTTCAGTCTCACGTCGTGGAGCCAGTTGCGCGTCGGTCCGACTTGTGTCCGGGACGGGAATCTACGCATGACCACCGCCCGGAGGATCAATTTTCGGGGTCCTCGACAGGCGCCGGATATGGACATATTCGGGCCCCTGGGGGCCAAAATATATCTACATCCACCGCCCGCTGGGGCACCAGGACGTCGGTTCCCAGGTGCTGGACATGGATAAATCCCCGCCTCGCATTCCGAGGGGGGCAAAAGTTTGAGGAGCAGCTGCAGAAGGAGCGGGCCGTCACTGACAGCATCATGACCGTCTTGAGGGAGCTCCCTCCGCTGCAAGCGGCGACTGGCACAGAGAAGAGGGGTCCTGGGGCCCGGCAGGGATTCGAGGGGGTCGAGGTTTTCGGCCGCTTTGGGCTCCCTTTGAGTTTCACGTTCCGCGCAGGTGCCTGCAGCGAGCCTCGAGCTCTATGGGAGTGAGCTTTGAACAGGAATTTTGCGTAAAAGTCCCTCCTGCCCCCTCGCTGTCTTGCCCTTGGCCCGAGGAAAAGCAGGGGGCTTCTTGCCGCCACTGCTACAGTTGCTTCGAGAGTCTGAGCAGAGGTCATCTTTGGAGAGGCGCCGGGGCAGATCTGTCCCAGGGCTGCCGTGGAGATGGGAGTCTTTTGGGGATGCAAGCCTGGTTGGGGGGGGTGGGGACCAATGGCCCAGGGCCGCTGTCCTTCAGGACACCTTTCTCGGCGATGCGTAATTCGGAAACTGAAACATATACATCACCAGTGACGGTTTCTCTCTCAATCCTCAGGACTTTTTGAGGGTCGAGGACGACGTCGGGGTGGTGTGGTGTATACTTTTTCCCCGTTTCCCCAGGGAAACAACGAAACATGTATACACCAGGACCCCATATACACCAGGATCCGCTTTCTTGTGAGAGTTTCAGCGCAGGGCCGGAAAATGCGCTGGTGTATAGAGTTCGGTTCCCTAGTAAGGGTGCCCTTGCGTCGGGGTGCGTACCAACCAGCGCGCCTGGGGGCGACCCTCGGTGACCCCGCTGGCTTCCAGAGGACCGTTTTTTCTGGCTTTGCCTCCCCCCTCCCCCCGAGCAGCAGCGCACGAAAGGTAACTCAGGAGGGGAAAAAACACGCAGACACAATGAATTGCCAATTCGCCAGAAAATGTGGGAAAATACGGGAAGTGAGGGGGAAGACAAAAACCCAGAAAATATGGGAAAATATGGGGAATCTTGTTATTTGTGTGTATTTATTTGTGTGTCCCAGGGCCCCTTCAGTAACGGCCACCCCTTACGCAGAGCCGGCTTCTGCCCGCGTGCCAAGGCGATGGAGCTGGGGGACCTCTGCCTCCTGGAAGCCGAGCTCAGGAAGTGGAGGGAGCGGGACTACTCGCACTTCGGCGAGTGCAAGGGCGTGGTCGAGGCCATCGTGAAGCTGGCCCAGGAGCGGCTGGTCACGTGGCGAGGAGTGGAGCACACCTGGAAGGACGTGCTGAGGGAAGTCGAGCGTTTGCCCGGAACTCAGCAGGCCCTCACCCAGCACAGCCAGCGCATCTTCCGGGCGCTCAAGGAGTCGCAGCTCACAAAGATGGACATCCGCAGGAGCGACCCGAACGCCCTGGAGCGCCTTTGCGAAGTCATTCTGGCCTGGCAGGCCAAGGCGATGTCTCACTGCAACGCTGTTCAGAAGCTGATCGTGCAGAAGGTGGTGAACTGCCCTCGGCTGGGCGCCTTCGACTTCGCGGACCTGGACATCTGCCTGCGCCTGGTCGACCGCTGCGAGAGCTCGAACACCGTGTTCCTCTCGCGTGCGCAGGCGATCATCGAGGAGCCGTCCACGGAACCGAAGGACATGCGCGCGCTGCTGTCGCACGTGGAGACGATGCTGTTCTTCCTCAAGTACGCCGCCAGCGAGGACCTCGGCCTGACGCACCTGGAGTTCCGGAGGCAGGCCAGGAAGCTCGAGCCCGCCGTCGCTGGGTACCTCGCCTGGGCCGAGCGCGAGTACCCGCCGGGGCAGGAGCTGGTGCGCCTGCCGGCGGGGCGCGGCCTCGTGGAGACGAAAGACGTGGAGACCGTCCTGGAGGAGCTGCGGAGGCCGGCGCCGGGCATGCTCAGGGCCGAGGGCCTCGGGCCTTTCAGGGAGATCTTCTACCAGTGGGCCCAGGCCATGCACGCCAAGTTCGACCTCCTGGTCCTGCCGCACCACACGCAGGTGATCACCCTCCTCGCGTTCAAGTGCTTCCTGGAGGCCGAGCAGACCAAGCACACCCCGCACTCGCTGATCGCCCAGGTGGGCACCGGCGAGGGCAAGTCCATGATCGTGGCCGCCCTGGCCATCTACGTCGCCGTGGTGCTCGGCAAGAAAGCGCACGTCGTGGTCGACGATGAGACCCTGCTCGAGCGCGACTTCTCGAATTTCAAGCGGCTGTTTGACAATTTCGAGGTGCCCGCCAGAGCGGGGCGACCGAAGCGGCCGTTGTATTCCGTTCTGTGCGCATCCGCGGACAAGGTGTCGGCCAACAGCACCGACAAGAGCCTCGTCCTGCGCGTGGACCCGGAGGCAGATATCTGCTACTGCGAGGCGAAGCACGTGCAGTCGTTCTATGCCAGCATCGCGCGGGGCGTTGACGCGAACTTCGACGAATACAAAAATCGCGTGCTCATCCTGGACGAAGTCGATGCCTTGGTGATCGACGAGGAGCCCAATGAGGCGTTCGTGTACCCCAATGCGGAGTTGAGCGATATGGCAACATCCATCGCGGGATCTTTGGCACGGGACGCCACTGTCCAGGAGCTTCGCGCTCTCCACTCGGGCTCCCATCCTGCCGGAGCTCGGGTCTGCAGCGAGATGGTGAAGGAGTGGAGCCATGCTGCCCAGATGACGCCTGGTGAAGACTTCGTGTTCGTGAAGGAGGCAGGCAAGTACTGCGCGCTCCAGTCGGGCCGCGCCAACCCCAAGGCATGGTCCTTGGCGCTCGAGTGCCGCAACTTCCAGGACGGTCTCAGCCGAGACATACTGTTCCAGGAGCGGCTCTTCGTGATGTCGCGGCCGCGGGTGTTCCGGAAATACAGCCGCATACTGGGCTTGAGCGGGTCCATCGGAAGCCAGCCCGAGCGCGACTTCCTTCGGGACACGTATAAGGCGTCCTTCTTCGAGGTGCCGCCGTTCCTGAAGACCTGCCGCGGGTCGCCCTTCCACGAGGCCGTCCCGGCGAGTCTGGGGGAGCAGCAAAAGGCGGTCTACGTGGAGGCCGGCCAGGAGAACCAGATCACGCGCCTCATCGAGGTTCAGCGGGCGAAGAACGGTTTAAGATCAACTTTTCCGCCGTCGGGGGCGCCTGCCCCTGGGCGGCTGGAAAGTTTCTACCCCTACGGTGCCACCGTAAGGGTATAAATTTTCCAGCCGCCCTGGGACAGGCGCCCCCGACACCGAAAAAGGTGATTCTATACCGTTCTTCGCCCGTTAAGAGGTTGCCCTGGAAGCGCGAGAGCGCGTGCCCGTCCTGGTGGTGGCGAAGGACTCGAAGCAGAGAAGCCACCGCGTGAACCACAGACTTCCGGAAGCGCTGGGCTCCCTCTGGCGGTGCCTCCGGCGCCCACCCCGGCGCGCTCGGAGGGTCCATCGCGGACCCAAGAAGCTCCCGCGGGCCTCCGACAGCTTTCAGGAGGGACAGCGCTCACGGACACGGTCGACGCCAAAGAACATATGGGAAGTGGGGGACGAGACGAAGGCCCGGAGCTCATTTTTGCAAGATATGGTGACTCTTGGGATCTGTGTCTATCTGTTTGTGTGTCCCTGGGCCCCTCCACGTTTCTGCTTATGCAGTCTGCGTTCTTCCAAACAACAAGATAATCAACACCACATATATATATAGGAATATATATATATATATATATATATATATATATGAATATATATATATATATCTATATATATATATATATATATATATATATATTCCCTTTTCTATATTTTTATAATCCTGGGGGGTGGGACCCCCCCCCCCGAAATAGGATCCTCCCCAACCGGGACTTCCGGAAACGGGACCCCTCACGAGGATCGCAGCCTCCGAGCGCGAAAATTAGCGCTCTCCGTCCAAAGAGGAAGGTGAGAGGACACGCGAGGCTCCTTGGACCTCCCGAGAGGCTTTCTCGAGGCTCCTACGAAGGCCCAAGAGGGTCCCAAGAGCCTTCCAGAGTCCTCCGAAGAAGCCCCCGAGAGATGAAAATCAGTGATTTCCTATGGTTTTTCTAAGATTGATGCTTCTTTGCATGTTCACTTTTCCGACGTGCCAAGACGGCCGAAGACGCCCACAAGACCGATGCCAGACGGCTCAAGAGGCCTCCAAGCGAGTCCGAAACCGGCCCAAGACAGCCCCGACACGGCCCAAGGGGTGCCCAAGACGGCCCCAGAGAGCCCCAAGACGGCCTTCAGAAACGGCACCGCTCACGAGGATCGCAGCCTTCCAGCGCGAAACTGAGCGATCCTTGTCCGAAGAGGCACCTCCGAGGGTACGCGAGGGTCTTCGGGTTGCCTTAAAAGCTTCTTAAAGGTTCCCTCGACAGCTTGAGAAGGCCCCACGAACCTCGCAGAGTTCTCTGAAGAAGGCCCCAAGAGATCAAAATCATTAACTTCCTGTGGCTTTCCTAAGATTTTGGCTTCGTTGCATGTTCACTGTTCCGACGTGCCAAGACGTCCGAAGACGCCCACAAGACCAATCCCAGAGAGCCCAAGCAGCCTCCAAGCGAGTCCACAGCCGGCCCAACAGAGCCTCCAAACGGGACCCCTCACGAGGATCGCAGCCTTCCGAACGAAGCCCATACATAACGTTCGTAGAGCCTGCCTGTCCCAAAGTCGCGTCAGCACGCCTCCCCGCGCCCCCCCTGCCTCATATTTTGTAGTATAAACCTGCATTCTGGTCAGAATCCTGGGTTCGCACCCTTTTTTAAAGAAATTTGGTTGCGAACCCGGGATTCGATAAGTTTCCCTCTGAAGTCCTTTTCTTGCATTCCATTTGCCCCTTTCGTTGCTTCGAACACCAAGTTCTCCCACTCCCCCTCCGCAACCTCTGCACATTCGCAGTGCGAGCCCGCGAGGACCCCTCGAAGGGACCGCAGGATACCGCGAGAAGCCAGCCGATGCAAAGCTTCAAGGAACAAGATGCATGGCGCGAAGCGCCTATGCAGCCTTGTATATATATATATATATACATATATATATATATATATATATATATATATAATGCAGTCTGTGCTCTTCCGAGGACCGCGTCACTGCCGAGCACGTGGTGGAGCGGCTGCGCCAGGGCGCCCGCTCGCGCGGCTTGGGCTCCGCGAGCGAGGATGCGGTGCGGTCGCTGTCGCGGACGCTGTACGAGGCCGACCCGGAGCAGTGGAAGGAGTCGGGGGTGGACAGACCTCCTACCCTTAAGTCGGGCCCGTCCCTCTACAGGGGGAATATTCAAAAATAGGCAAAAAAAAAACAGTCTGGGGACGATTTTTTAGTATTTTTAAGCATTCGGGGGCATTTGTTGAGTATTTTTTTGTCCAGAATCCCCCTGTAGGGGGACACGCCCGACTTAATCCTGTCCTGACACGTCGATGAAGGAATCGGCCGTTTTCGGTTCGCGAGAGGGCGTCGCGGCCGTCACCTTTGCGGGTCCAGGTCCGTCGGTTTCGGTCCCAGGCCGTCTGCACTGAGGGGAGGTTTACTGAAGGAGGTTTGTCCACCGCCGAAGGAGAACCTGAACAGGGCCACGATGCCCGTGGGCGACGCGGCGGTGGGCAGGAAGGCGTGGAGGATCACGGTGACGGACCCCCGCGGCGGTCGCGGTACGGACTACAGGGTGGACGACTCGGACGTGGATGCGCAGGGCGGCCTGCTGCTCATACCGACCTTTGTGCCGACTTCGCGGCGCGACTGGACGCAGTTTCTGGGCCGCACTGCCCGCCAGGACCGGCGGGGGCAGTTCTGCTGCGTCCTGAACGATGCCGACTACAGGGCTCTCAGCGAGAAGTACAACGCAGCCCTGCCTCACGGCGGCTCCACAGAAGCGGTGAGTGCCGTCCTCAATTGGGGCGACCAGGAGGCTGCGGGCCGCATCAGAGGCTCCGCCGCGCTCTACAACACGGGAGTGCGCGTCAACGAGCTCTGCGAGGAGGTGTTCTCAAAGAGCCCACATGTCCTGTCGGACCCCCACGCCAGGGAGCGCCTGGTGGACATCTGCCAGCGCCACCGGTGGATGAGCGTCGAGGAGGTGACAGAGGCTCAGGGGCAAAGATAGAGGGGGATTAGGCATAGGGGGGGATGCATCGACCCCCAATCGCCCAGTGATCGCCGATAGGGGCCCGATAGCCCCAACCTGCACAGCAAGGTGCGGATTCACGACCGGAGGCCTATCGCCGATCTATCGGCGATGTATCGCCGATTCCAGGTCGATGCATCCACCCCCGGAGGAGGAGGAGGAGGAGGAGGAGGAGGAGGAGGAGGAGGAGGAGGAGGAGGGAGGAGGACCGGAGGAGGAGGAGAGGAGGAGGAGGAGGAGGGAGGAGGAGGAGGAGGAGGAGGAGGAGGAGGAGGGAGGAGGAGGAGGAGGAGGAGGAGGAGGAGGAGGAGGAGGAGGAGGGAGGAGGAGGGAGGGGAGGAGGAGGAGGAGGGAGGAGGAGGGAGGAGGAGGAGGAGGAGGAGGATGTCCCCCCCTATCGCTGCCCCTCAGAGGCTTTCGCTCGCCTGCCTGGGCTGAACGTGGCGTCCCTTCCGACGGAAGCCCACGACATGGGGCGCCCGCAGGAGCCCCCCACGCCGCGGATGCGGGCGCCCGCGCAAGGAGCCTCCAGTCGGGCCTGTCCCTCAACAGGAGGAGTAGTCAACAGTAGTCGAGAGCTAGTCTGGGGACGATGTGTTGACCATTGTTTTTGTTACTGTTTCGAGTACTTGTCTGACTCTTTCCTGTTTGTTTCTTCCGACATCCCCCTGTGGGAGGACATGCCCGGCCTAAAAGGAGCTTACCATCTGCAGGCGCTGGTCGGCGCTGGGGTCGCCTCGGTGTTGCCGGCCGCGCCGAAGGTCGTGGTCTTCTGCCTGGACTGGAGCGCCTCCATGATGTCGCGGGACACGAGAACGCCCCTGTCGCGCTTCGAGATGTGCCAGCAGAGCGTGCAGAGGATCCTGGACGACCAGGTGCGTGACTGCGACTTCGTGAGCGTCGTCGGCTTCGGGCCGACCGTGGAGACGGTGATCCCCCCCACGCCCAAGGGAGCGGGCGCTCAGGCCATCCACGGCCGCATCGCCAGCCTCCGGCCCTCTGGCGCGGGGGGCACGTGCTTCTACGACTCGGTGGTCACCTCCCTGCAGCTGCTCGGCCAGCCCGGCCTGGCTCCCGCGGAGGGCATGCGCTGGCTCGTCTGCCTGACGGATGGTGACGACCTGGGGAGCCAGCGAGGCAACCAGAGCGGGGAGATGGTGAACCATATCCTGAACACGCAGCCCCCCGCCAACCTGAACATGGTGATGATAACGGTCGGCCCCCTGAGGGAGCAAAACCTGCGGATAATGGACTCGTGGGTGGACCGAGTCTCTAAGGGGGGTGGACAGGGCATGCGCATTTCCGAGAAGGATGCCGTCAACATTACCAAGGCGTTCGATGTGGTGGCGGAGTGCTTGGCCGCGGATGTAGGCGGAGCAGTGGAATGCTAATGTCGAGTCTTTGTTTCTTTCTTTTGTTCTCGAGTCTTGAGCAGAGGGGGTGCAGCGGAACAGGAGGCGGGGACCTCGGCTGCGGTCGAGAGGGAGCTTGGGTCCTGAACTGGGCCCGCCCGCTGTACAATTGAGGAAGCTCTTCCAGGTTGGGCGACGAGCAGGCCAGACTCCGCGAGACCCTCGCCGTCACCGCCCGGGGGGTCTGTCTCGATCGCCCCTGGGCGCAACGCCCCCACGCGTGTCGCTTCTGGCTCGCTTGCGTGGTGGACTTTCCTCCTTCAGCATGTGCATGTAGATGTGAATCGAGCAGCGTGTCTGAGGTCGAGAGAAAATATTACTGCGACTGCTGCCGCTTGTCATGGCCGTCGCAGCCGTCCTCCTCCCATCCATACGTACAGGGTGGACATGGTTTGCGGGAGGAGGGGATAAAGGGATGGAGGAGTAGGAGGGGGCGGATCTGTCCTCCGAGGGGGGCGGGAGGATGAGTGTCTTCGAGTGGGCGGAAAAATGTCCTTGCGACGCGAACATTCAGTTCCTCCTGAGCCATCGCCTACCTCTCGACGGTAACGAGAGGGATACCCTAACTTGACGCAGATGAGGTAAAGACGTTTGGCGAAACTGCAGCATCGAGCGCACATGTTACGAGTGTAGCATGATGGCACGTTCTTGGGCCGAGTGGTCGCGTGGGCACCGTGCTCGCTCGCGTGCAGATTGTGGTGGTAGTGAGGCAGCAGCGATACTCATTCGAGGCGGTAGCGAAGCTAAACCAGCATGTCGCTCTCAGGAGGAGGGTTGGGAAGGGAGGAGAATGAGGACGATGAGGGTGAGGGGGTGAGGGAGGAGGAGGAGGAGAAGGATGAGAAGCAGGAAATTGAGCAGGAGGAGGGGGACTGAGAAGAGGAAGGAACGCCTTCCCCAATTTCTCCTTGTCTTCGTCATTTCTCCTCCTCCTCTTCTTCCTCCTCCTCCTTCTACTATTGCTGCTGCTGCTGTTACTACTACTACTACTACTACTACTACTACTACTACTACTATTACTACTACTACTACTACTACAACTACTACTACTACTACTACTACTACTACTACTACTACTACTACTACTACTACTACTACTACTACGATCACTACTACTACGACGACTACTACTACTACTACTACTACTACTACTACTAGTACTACTACTACTACTACTACTACTACTACTACTACTACTACTACGACTATTACTACGACTGCGACTACGATTACGGCTACTACTACTACTACGACGACGACAACGACTATTACTACCACTACTACGACTACTACGACTACTATTACTACTACTACTACGACTACTACTACTACTACTACGACTATTACTACTACTACTACTACTACTACTACTACTACTACTACTACTACGACTCCTCCTCCTCCTCCTCCTCCTCCTCCTACTACTACTACTACTACTACGATCACTACTACTACGACTACTACTACTTCTACAACAACAACAACTACTACTACTATTACTAATACTAGTACTAGTACTAGACTAGTACTACTATCGCTACTACTACTACTACTACTGCTACTACTACTACTACTACTACCACTACCACTACTACCACTACCACTACCACTACCACTACCACTACCACTACCACTACCACTACTACTACTACTACTACTACTACTACTACTACTACTACTACTACTACTACTACTACTACACTTTTACTACTACTTACTCACTACTACTACTACTACGACTACTACTACTACTACTACTACTACTACTACTACTACTACTACTACTACTACTGCTACTGCTACTACTACTACTACTACCTACTACTACTACTACTACTACTACTACTACTACTGCTACTACTACTACTACTACTACTACTACTACTACTACTACTACTACTACTACTACTACTACTACTACTACTACTACTACTACTACTACTACTACTACTACTACTACTACTACTACTACTACTACTACTACTACTACTACTACTACTACTACTACTACTACTACTACTACTACTACTACTACTACTACTACTACTACTACTACTACAACTACATACTACGAGGACGACGACGACGACGACGACGACGACTACTACTACTACTACTACTACCATGTAACGCCCCTCGCGGGGGTAGAAGCCAAGTGGACCAAGTCTACTTGCTGTGGCGTCACGCTGCCACTCTGTTGGTTTTGCTTTGTCGTTTTACGGTTCCCTGTCATGCGCTGCGTGGTTCACGAATCCATATCTATGCCTGATTGTTGCCAAGCAGAAACGAGAATCATAGTCATGCACAACGTACAAGTAATGATATACGATTGTTTGATTAGGCTTTAGAGCCTCGCCGTTCCAGTAGGATTTGTTGCGCGTTGCATACGCGCGCGACCTGTAGTATGCGTGCATGGCGTTGTCGGGGTGTTTGTTGTCGAAGGGACGTGAACGGAGATACATCAAAATACACATACTTACATGAAGTAATATTGTTTTCAGAGATTACGTTGTCTCGCCCCGCAGTAAGATTTGGCGCACTCTGCACGCGTGCGCGACTGGTACGAAACGTTGCGTTGTTGACGTTGTCATCGGTGTGCAACAGAAATGAACGGAACAATTATCAAACACGCGTAAGTCTACGAAGTAATCTTGTTTTCTGAGCTTTTACCATGTTGCCATTTCGTTGAGATTAGCTACAGTCTGTATACGCGTGCATTTCGTACGGAACGTTGGTGTTTCTTGCGGGTCGCGTGTACATCAGAATGATCAGAAAATCACCAATAATAATATCATCCACGAAGTATTACTATTTCCTGAGTTCGCACCATTTTGCAGTGTCGTTGAGCTTTGCTATGCTTCGCGTACGTGTGCATGTTGTACGAAAAGTTGTTGTTTCCCTCGGGTCACACGCACCACAGAAATGATACGACAATTCAAAAAACAGAAGAATCCATGAGATGATACAGTTTTCGGAGTTTTGCCTTTGAACCGTTTCATTGGGATTGGCTATGCTTTGCATGCGTCCGCATCTTGTACGAAGCGTTCCTGCTTCTTTCGGGTCGTTTGGCTTTCAACAAAAATGGGAAAAGACGATTTTCGAATATGACATAGATGCATGACGTCGTTCAGGATACTCCAGGGGCCTCGTGGGGCCTCGCGGGGCATCCTGGGACCTCCTGGAGCGTCCTGGAGCCTCCTGGGCTTTCCCATAGCCTCTTGGGACGTCCTAAAGTCTCCTGGAGCTTCCTGGGGTCCCCTGAGGGCTCCTGGAGCCTCCTAGCGGCTCTCTAAGAAGCCACGCGCGTGGCCTTAAAAGTGACAACAGTTTCAAGGATGGGGTCCATCCCGTTGAGAGAGAGGGCGCAGTGAACGTTGAACAAGTGGCGACAGTGTCACACTTGCGGCCCGAAACCGTCTTTAGGCACCTGCCCCTTTTGCTCATCATCCTGGTCCTCCTCCTCGTCATCTTCCTCCTCGTCCTCCTCCTCCTCCTCCTCCTCTTCCTCTTCCTCCTTCTCCTCCTCCTCCTTCTCCTCCTCCTCCACGTCCTCCTTTTCCTTCTCCGCCTCCCCCTCCCTACCTCGGGCGTGATGGACCATGGGACCTCATGGAGTCTCCTGGGAATCACAGGGCCCCCCTGGGAAAGCAACCCCTGGGGACTTCCTGCGGCCTCTTGAAACCTCTTGGGCTCTCCTAGGGTATCCTGAAACCTCCAGGGGCGTCCCAAGCGTTTGGATCGTTCAGGATACGCCTGGAGCGTCCTGGGACCTTCTGAGGCCTCGTGGGACCTCGCGGTGCATCCTGGGACCTCTTGGAGCGCCCTAGACCCTCCTGGGGATTCCTAAGGCCTCCTGGAGCGTCCTGAAGTCTCCTGGAGCTTCCTGGGGCCTCCTGAGGCCTCCTGGAGCCTCCTGGCGGCTCTCTTAGAAGCCACGCGGGGTGCCTCAAAATTGACAACAGTTTCAGGGATGGGAGCCTTCCCGTTGAGAAAGAGGGCGCGGTGGACGTTGAAAAATGACGACCGTGTCCCACTTGAGGTCCAAAACCGACTTTGCGGTTCCCCCGCCGGAATCCTGGTCCGGAATAGTACGGTGCGTTTTGCCCCCTCCCCGCTGTCCCGCCGGTCCCAGGGAGGGCTAGTTTTTCCCAACCCTCCTGCGTTGGGTTCTCGTTTTGAATAGAGCACTGCTCGCGCGAACCTTCCCACCCCCTCCCGTCCCTCTCTTCCCCCCTGCCTTTTACCTGGCTCGTCACTGCGTTTCGAGGGCTGCTGGGGGCTGCGATCTGTGAAACTGTCGCCACTTTCGAGGGCTGCTGGGGGGCCCAGCACAGTGGGCACCCGCGGCGGATTCAAATGGGACCTCGCCATCCCTGGGGGGCTGCGATCTGTGAAACTGTCGCCACTTTCGAGGGCTGCTGGGGGACCAGCACAGTGTGCACCCGCGGCGGATTCAAATGGGACCTCGCCATCCCTGGGGGGCTGCGATCTGTGAAACTGTCGCCACTTTCGAGGCCTGCTGGGGGGCCCAGCACAGTGTGCACCCGGCGGATTCAAATGGACCTCGCCATCCCTGGGGGGCTGCGATCTGTGAAACTGTCGCCACTTTCGAGGCCTGCTGGGGGGCCCAGCACAGTGTGCACCACGGCGGATTCAAATTAGACCTCGCCATCCCTGGGGGGCTGCGATCTGTGAAACTGTCGCCACTTTCGAGGCCTGCTGGGGGGCCCAGCACAGTGTGCACCACGCGGCGGATTCAAATTAGACCTCGCCATCCCTGGGGGGCTGCGATCTGTGAAACTGTCGCCACTTTCGAGGCCTGCTGGGGGGCCCAGCACAGTGACACCCACGGCGGATTCAAATGGGACCTCGCCATCCCTGGGGGGCTGCGATCTGTGAAACTGTCGCCACTTTCGAGGGCTGCTGGGGGGCCCAGCACAGTGGGTACCCACGGCGGATTCAAATGGGACCTCGCCATCCCTGGGGGGCTGCGATCTGTGAAACTGTCGCCACTTCGAGGCCTGCTGGGGGGCCCAGCACAGTGGGCTTCCCGCACGTCTTTCTCCTGCTCTTCGTTCCCGACTCCCCATGTCCTCTTCGAGCCTGTAGTTGTCGCCCCTCGTTCTTGTATGGTTCTCCTGCGCATCATTCCATTGGCGCGTGTCCCAAGTAGCTTACATATCAAACAACGGATCCTGCAATTTGATTGTCCGTGCAAGTTTCGGCCAACTCCTCGTTTCCCATGATACAAATGGGTTGGGTACGTCACAGGGTAATTTTCCCAACCCTCCTGCGTTGGGTTCTCGTTTTGAA